TGAGTTCGAGGCCAGCCTAAATACATAATGAGACCATATCTTAAAAAAAGTCAGAATTACAGAAACAAGAAGTACTTTATGGTTGTATCATTTCTCCATATTATGATTTAGTGAGATCAAATAAAAAGTAGAAAAGTGAACTTAGATTCTTATTCTGTAGTATTTAACCAAAAGCTTATATGACATAGTATGAACACTTGGTTGAAATATTATAGAATAAGAACTCTGGTTCATTTTTAATCTTGTATTTGAAACATTGGCATAACATCTTTAGAGGTTATGGATATCCAAAGATGTCTTATAGATTGTTGGAATTGGATTCTGAGTGGAAATGGTATTGGGTGGTGGTCCAAGAAGTAGCTTTGGAAAGTATCCTAAAAGTACAGGTCATCATGGTAGTTATAAGGATATAGGGAGGACAGAAGTATCTAATGAGAGAACACTGGATACAAAGAATCATTAATGGAAGGAAGAAAAATACTGACAAGATGACATTATCCTATAGCAATATGATTTTACCTAGGGTAGCTCTTTATACCTTTTAATTTAGTTAAATCTATTATCTTATTTGATACTGAAATAGTTTGAAATAAAGTATATGACTTCTTAGTGTAATATGTTAATTCCAGAGAAGCTATTCCTATATTTTCTAAAAACGATGATAAAAATAAAACATAGATGCTTTATATTGAATTATTTTGTATTTGTTTTGTTGAAACTAGGGCCCAAGAATTAATTAATCTATATCAGAGAAAAAAAAAAACTTTAAAAAAAAAGAAAGAAGAAAAATTTAATTGGAAAGTTAGGGTCTGAGGATTTAGCTCAGCGGCACAGCGCCTGCCTGGCAAGCCCAAGGTCGTGAGTTCGATTCCTGGTACGGGGGGGGGGGCGGGGAGAGGAAAGTTAGAGGGAAGATAGGGAAGAACTCCAGTTTAAGTAGCTGGAAGTGTTTTTGTTTTGTTTAGTACATCCCCAGGTCGATTTTTTTAAATTTTTTTTTTTTATTTTCAGAGTGCTTGCTAAATTGCCTACCTGAGATTTGAACTTGCAGTCCTTCTGCCTCGCACATTCTTTTGTGCCTAGCTGAGTTTGAATACCTTCATTTTCTGTCTGGACTTCTTTGTGGGACAGTACAATTTTAAAACCATCAGTGTTCATTAAGTGTAGGGGTTTCTTTTAAAAAACCCATTTGAAACATTGTTACCCACAGTTTGTATTTCAAAGAGGAAAAACTTTGTAAATGACTTAGGGCAACTTCATAGCTACTCTTTCAGGTTAGGCTTTAGGCAGAGGTTGGGAAGAAGGAAAGGGTTCAGTGGTTGAAAAAGTAGTGAAAATTTGAAATACCTCTTTTGGTGAGTATAAGTAAGTGACCAAATCAGCCGTGTAATAGGATTTTTGAGTTAAGCAGAAAATAAATTTTAAGAAAAGCAAAAAGAAACAAACTAATTGTAACAATACCTGTATATTATATTTGACCCAATAAATCCAAAAGGTTGTTATTTTAACATAATATAAAATAAAGATATCGCCTGTTAAATAGCATACTTTTAAGAATAATTAAAATATATGGGCATGATGGTGCATGTCTGTATCCCTACCACTCAGGAGACTGAGGCAGGAGGACTGCTGTAAGTTCTAGACTAGCCTAGGCTTCAGAGTGAGTTTAAGGCCTGCCTGCAAGACCTTCTCTCAAAAGAAAAAAAAAACAGACCAAGAAAGAAAGAAAAAAAATAGCGTATGCTCATTCATGTGTGTAAAAAAAAATGTATACTTTTAAGAATATACAAAATGTAGCTTATTACATACATTATTGTATATCTTGCTTTTTTTCCTCACATCTTGGACCTGCTTTGTTGTTTCTAATGTCTCTATACTATTCCTTTATATAGCTATGCCATGATTTATAAAAGCAGTTTACTATTAATGGTTTCCTTTGGCTGTATTGGGAATTGAACCTAGGGCCTTATACAAAGGCCCTGACCCTGAGCTATACCCCTGATCTTTTTTGTTTTATTTTTTAATATTTTGAGACAGGGTCTCACTGAGTCTCCTTAACTGGGCTGGAACTGGGATTCTTTTGCCTCACCTTTCTAGAGTGCTAGGGTTACAGATTTGGTTACCACACTTGGCTTGTTTTCAATACTTTACCCTTACAATCAGTGCTGTAATGAACATCTTTATATATATGTATTGAACATATATGTGGATGTTTGTAGAATAAATTTTTACAAATGGAATTTTTAGTTAAAATATGTATTTAAAAATTTTACATTGACAGATGCAGTATTGTAACAGTTAACACATTCAACTAGTAATGTCTGAATAAACTTTTTTCTTAAGTAGAACGAGGTCTCGAAACTGAATTATAGGAGAAAACAAAATTTATAGGTAATAAAATGTTTCTTGTCTGTAGTAATTGAAGAAACATGGATACCTACCTTTGTCTGGACATGGTTTTTTGAGTGATCTCAGGGAAGCTGTTCAGGCTCCAGAAGATGGATTGAAAACACTGGTTCTAGTCTAGCTCCCTTTATTTTAGTATAAAAAAGAAAGTTCTAAAGAAATGAAGTTATTTTTCCAGGACCGCCAAAATGTAGAAAAAGGTGAAAGGTAGAACCCTCAGAGAAGCACATGAATGACTCTGAAATGTATACCAAACTGTTTGGTATAACAGGAAAACCTTAATTATTATTATTATTTTTTTTTCCGGTACTGGGATTAAACCAGTTGCCTTCATACTGAGATACATCCCAGCCCTTATTTTTTTACTTTTTGAGATCAGGTCTCACTAAGTTGCTCAGGCTTGGCTCAGACGTGTGATCCTCCTGCCTGTGCCTTTCAGAGTGTTGGGATGCACCCCCACATCTAGCAGAATCAAACCTTTAAAAAAATAACATTAGCTGGTTAATTTTGTTTTTGTAAGCAAGTGTCATGGTTAGTAAGTGTTTGGGGAGCTACAGGCATCATTGAAATAGAATAGGGAAATTGGTGGTCTGGGGAAAATAAGGGAGGAGGTCGTCGTGGACGTCCTGAGAGCTGATGTGAGTGGCTGAAGAAGCAGAGACCAACTGAAGAGGATGAGGAGGTATGAGATAAAAGGATCTGGAGCACCTAGCCCAGTGCCTGAGGCGTGATGGCTGCTCAGTAATGCGAGCTTCTGATTCTTGGAGGTATAGACTGGACTGACTGCACTGTTGGGGGGGGTGGTACTTAATGAGACTGTAGATTATGTGTGCCCCATGATCCAGCAGTAGTTTCCCTGGGTATTTATCTGAAAAAAATTCTCACATGGGTCCATGCAGAGTTTTTCAGTGCAATGTTATTTGTGCTTGTGGAAAACAGTTTTGTTTCCATACCTTTTCCCCAAGGATGAGTACAGTATGACAGATTTATACCACAGAGAACCATCAAGCAAGTAATGGACTGAATGTGCACATGGCAATGTGATGGATCAGTGTGATGGATTTTATGTGAAATATGTAACACAGTAGCATTTATGTAAATTAAAAAATATGGTGTGGGTAAAATATACTGTACAGTTTGCAACATTTTAACACATTAGATATTGTTGAGAACATTTTAACACATTAAATACATTGTAGTGGTTGCTTCCTGTGGGAGTGCTGAGAGTGAGTATAGGAGAATAAAGTAAAAAGGCATCTATGTGAAACTTCCTTACTTCCCAGAGGTAAACTTTGTGGCATCTGGTGGATGAGGAGGAGAAGAGGACCTCTGCAGGCTAGTTCCCCATCTCCTTTTGTTACTATCCTTAGGAGTAGAATTTCTGGTAACCAGTTATCATTGGAATACATATATATTCATGGTTCTGAATTTGTGTTCATTTATTTTTATTTTTTTACTTTTATTCCTTCTTCATTTTCTTCTGTTACTGTATGTTTTGTTTAGTTGTTGCTTTTAATATACCGGCCTCATCATAAGGCCTGATTTAGGTACTACTTCTACAACCAGCACTATATTCAGTTTTAGAAAATAATATTGATAGTCTACATGAGAAGCTTGTCAACATCCTTTCAGATGATTTTTTTTTAAAATTAAAGCTTGGAATACTAAATACTTGGAATAAAGCAGTCACTACTTTGATTCATTACCCTTTATGAAATTTACGTTGGGCTGGGGATATAGTTTAGCAGCACAAGAGCTTGCCTGGCAAGCACAAGGTCCTAAGTTCAATTCCCAGTACCAAAAAAAAAAAAAAAAAGAATATCTGAAATTAATGTTATCTTGCTTTTCCTATGAGAAATTCTGTTTAAACTGATAAGAACAGATACTACACTTGATCGTAGCTAGAAGGCCAAAAAGTGATTAAAAGAAATTCTGTTGATTGATTGATTGTCTTTTTGAGACAAGGTCTTCCTATGCAGTTCAGGCTGGCCTTGAGCTTACTTTGTAGCCCAGGCTGGTCTGGAGTGCTGGGATTACAGGCATGAGCAACCACGCCCGGCTAGAAATTCTGTTTAAAGCTGGTAAAAATACCCACTCCCACCTGGTTTGATAAACCCAACTATCTGGGAGCATGAGGCAGGGTGATCTCAGGTTTGAGGCCATCTTGGGCAACTTAGTGAGAATTTTTCTCAAAATAAAAAAAAAATAAAAAGGAGCTGCATGTGGTGATACATGGCTGTAATTGTGTAAACTGAGGCAGGAGGATGGTGAGTTCAAGTTCAGCCTGTGGAATTTAGCAAGGTTGTCTCAAAATAAAGAAGACATGGGGCTGGGGTGTATCTCAGTGCTAAGGCTGCGGGTTCAATCCCCAGTACTGGGGAAAAGTGAATTTAAAAAAAAAGGATTGGTGATGCAGTTAGTGGTAGAGCACTTGCCTAGTGTACATGAGGCCCTAAATCCAATCCCCAGTACCACAAAAAGCAAAACTAAAATTTAAAAAGTACTGACCCCCCCCCACCTGAATCTCAGATATTTCCCTGAGATAACAGTGGAAGCTGGGATAGAATGAAGTGTAGGAGATAAATAGGTCTTACCTTTCAGCAATTTTTGTTGCTAAACAAAATCCTTTTCTAGGTCACGAACTTTTGAGTAGACTGAGATTTGAGTTAGCCTCAATTAAGATTTCTGGTTGTACTTGTACCTCCCAGGCTCCAGATTAGCGACTGGAGAAAGGAGCTGTGCTGGAGTTACCGTAACCTTGGCAACTATTGTAATGTAAATGAGTCTTTCCAGAAGGAAGTTGAGAGCGTGGGTGCTTGTTAGGGCATTCCTTTATTACATTTACAACTAGAGCAGACTACCATTTTGCTATTTAAAATTCTTGTGTTGTTGCTCTTCAGTCATTTTTTGAGTCTTGTGCTATCCCAATCTTTTTTTAGTTTTTTGAGACATTAATGCTGTGTTCTAATATGTATATGAAACAGAAAAATACCTGACATGCTTCTCTTGCTTCTCCTTTGTACACATTGAAGACCTCTTTTTTTTTTTTTTTAACTTTGTCAGCACTACTTTGTTTGCTTGTTTTAGTACCAGGGATTGAACCTAGGGCCTTTACACTGAGTTACATCCTGGAATGTAACGTTTTTCAATTTATTTGTATTTATTTAGCCTTTTTTTTGAGTCAGGGTCTCACTACAAAGCCCAGGCCAGACTTGAAGTCTTGATCCTCCTACCTCAGCCTCTCGAATGTGGGGATTATTGGCATGCACCATTGTACTCCTTCCAACACTACCTTTTTCTCACTGCCTTCTGGCCCTTACGTAGCTGTTCTACACCAGATCTCTAGTAGATAAAGGAAGCCACTGAGGTTTCTGGAGAATAGGGCCAGGTCGTATATGGTGATGGCCAAGATTGGGTTTAGTTGGAACCAGTAGTGCCAAGGCTACTCTTTAAGCAGCACAAGAGCAATGACTCCTTGATCTCAAATCTTAATTTTTTTGTTATTGTATTTCAGCTTTAAGAAAGTTTTAAAAATCTATTTAAGTTTTAGGGTTTTAATTCAGGTTCAGTAGGTCAAGGGGGCTCTCAAAACTGTAATCCCAGCTCTCAGGAGGCTGAGCAGGGGGACTGAGAGTTCAAGCCCAGCTGGGGCAGTTTAGCCAGTCTCTGAAACGCTGCTGGGGTTGTAGCTCAGCGTGAAGGCCCTGGGTTCAATCCCCAGTAACACCCTCCCCCATCAGTTTAGTTCTTTGTGGTTGGTAGAGATTGATGACTAGAAGAGAATAATTAAAGTGGAACCAAAATAATTACTAAATTGAGACTGAATTGTTAATTTAAGTATTGTACTTATTCACTACCTCCCAAATGAAGTTTTAACAAAGGGCCTGAGTGAAAAGTTTAAGGTTCCTATTGAAGGTTAACTATTGTTAGGATGTTGGTGCTAGGTAAATAGTTTTCCTCAGTCTCAGTTTTTCTCTTCATAACGAGTGAAAACAATAGCTCTGTCTAAAAGGAACTAAAACATAAGGAGTGATATGGTCAAGAAAATCATCTGATGTAAAACAGATAGTCTAAACTTTTGTATGCCTCAGGTATCCCATTTATCTTGCTCCAATGAAAGCTGTTACATTTTTCACTTTGGTTTTAACTTCCCTGCTCTTACCCTATTATTGAGTGGTCACAACACACACTCTTGTAATATAATTGTCTTTCTTGATTTAGTTATAAACAGACAAGTTGATTTTAAATTTCAAATATTTGAGCATTTAGTATATACAAAGCTTGGAACTGTGTACATGGGGAATAATAAAATATATAAGAGCATAATTATTACCTTTGAATATAAGTCATTCACATGTTATTACCGGTCTTGTTACATTATAACACCTCCTCAGGTCTTATTACCTGGAGCCAGTGTCACTTGTAAGAGAACATGTTCCAAATAATAATTCTCAAGATGTTGCCTGACTTGTAGCAATTTTCTTCCTTGTTCAGATCATTGTACTGTTTGTTTTTGTGGTACTTATCAAACTCAGGAGTTCTCTACCAGTGAGTTATATCCCCAAACACCCTGCCCCTCTTTTTGAGGCACGATCTCACTAAGTTGCCCAGATGGGACCTTGAATTTGCTTTCCTCCTGCCTAAGCTTGTCTAAGTGCTGAGATTACACAGGTGTGCTTCAGCACCTGGCTTGTACTGTTATTTTATTAGCGGATATGTATTAGCTTTTTCACAGGGTCTCACTGTATAGCTCAGGCTGGCCTTGAACTCACTGTGTAGCCCAGGCTGACCCCAAACTCAAGGTGATCCTCCTGCCTGAGCTTCTCCAGTGCTGAGATTACAGATGTGTACCGCCATGCCCAGCTATATCCCCACCCTAGGGCTGGGGATATAGTTCAGAGGCACAAGCACCTGCCTGGCAAGCACAAGGTCTGGAGTTCGATCCCCAGTACTGCAAAAAAAAGAAAGAGGACTAAGTTTTAGCCAGCTGTGGTGGCGCACACCTGTAATCCCAGCACTTGGGAGGCTGAGGCAGGAGGATCATCACAAGTTCGAGACCAGCCTGGGCTACAAAGTTAGCTCATGACCAGCTTGAACTGCATAGCGAGACTCTGTCTCAAAAAGACAAAACAAAACAAAGCACAACAAAACACCTCGCCCTGAAGCCTCGTCTTGAGCTTACAGTTGACCAAAATCTTATTGTTATCAACAGATGTTAAAATTGATTTGTCATAAACTGTTTTAGACAGATGACTTATTTTGTATTTTCAGCCCATTATTTATTTGATTAGATTTTTGTGATTTTTAAAAATGGTTTCATTGTATTATCTAATCTTTGTAGATAGACTTATGTCACTACCAAAGTTATCACTTAATTTAAAGGTGTTAATAAACATCTACTGAAGTAAACCCAATACAGAGCCCTTGTAGCAGCCAATGTATACTTCCATCCCAATTGCTGTTAAGCCATTGATTAATAATCTAAGGATGGTTGTTCACCCAGTTGTAAAACTATCATCTAACTAGAATAAGAAACTTTATTCTTTTTTTAAATTAAGTTTATTGGTACATTTTAGTTGTACATAATGATCACACTCATCATAGGGAATTTATAACTGTACATGGTATATCTTCATTCTTTTTTCCCCATTCCTCTGCCCGCCCTGAGCTCCCTTCCCTTCCTTATTTACAAAAGCTTTGTTTCCATTTTTTTCTTTTTTTATTTGGTACTGGGAATGGAACTCAGGCCCTCATGCTTGCCAGTCAGATGTTACGTCACTGAGGTAAATCCCTGGCCCATTTTTTTCCTTCTTTTTGTGTTCTTAAAATTTTTTTCTTCCTTCCCCTCTCCCCACTCCTTAGTTCCCCTTCCCACTTAAACATTTCCTATTTCATAATATCTGTTATACATTTTGGTCCTTTGGTTATTATACTTTGGTTTCTCACATTAGAGACACAATACAATGTTTACATATGTGTGTTCAATTTATTTGACTTAAGAGTATGGTCTCAAGGTGCATCCATTTACCTACAGAAGTCTCAAATTTATGGCAGAGTAGTACTCCACTGTATTAAAAAAAATCTTTATTATCTGTTCTTCCGCTGATGGGCATTTGGGATGAAGAAACTTTAATCTTGACTTCAGCAATATCTACTTGACCTGCTCTATTTTCTTTCTCTCAGTCCAATATTTTTGTCAAAAGTAAAATTATGTTAGCATGACTTTTTTTCTTGGTGAATCCATTCTTCTGTTGTTCTCTATACCCCTTCCCTGCCCACAGTAGGCTAATGTAGAATTTTTCCTGCGATATCCCTGTTAAATTTTTAATCTTTTTTTTTTTGTTTTGTTTTGTTTTGTTTTTTCTGCTTTTATTCCAGTACCAAGAACTGAACTCACGACCTTGTGCTTGCCAGGCAAGTGCTTTGCTGCTGAGCTAAATCCCCAGCCCCCAATTTTTAATCTGTATTCGAGAATCTAGTCTCTTTTTCCTTTGAAATTGAGAAAACTAAAATTGAATTTTCTTGTTTCTAGGTCTCTAGCTTCTCTTCCATTCTTCATGAAACACTTTCGAGATCTCAGTGTCTTAGGCTGTAATTCATTTGGTTCCAGAGATTTGAATTCATTGTAAGCTACTGGATGATCTTACTATCTTTTCTCCTATCTCAGTGTTTAGTTTCCTCTTAACTCTGTGTGTACTGCTCTTCCTAGTATGTAAAATATTCTTGATTTAAAAAATGGGAGTAAAATAGCTCAATAGTTTAGTTTTGTTTGTCGCCCCACTCCCCAAATACTGGGGATTGAACTCAGGGCCTTCCTACTGAGTTATATTCTGAACTCTTTTTAATCTTTTGAGGCAAGGTCTCACAGGTTGCTCAGCCTGGCCTCAAAGTTGCATCCTCCTGCTGCAGCCTCCCAAATAGCTGGTATTACGGATATTATAAACATTGGCAGATGCTTATAATATCTTTTTATCACAATACAAGGGCCTGTCTCTTATATTTTTGTTTGGAAAAAAGATTGTATGTTAACTCATTGAGCTTATTGAAAATGTTAGATATTTGTGCTCCAATGTTAAATATATGTGCTCCAAAGATGGAGAAGACATGGTTTTTGCTTTCAAGGAGGTAACAATATACTTGGGTAGATGTATATTTATATAAATATTTATTGTATAGCAAGACAAGGGCCAGTAGAGGTTATTTTGAAAATGGAAGCATGAGGAAAGAGCAATGAATTTTGAATAATAGGCAGGTTTATTTGAGCTCCCACAGAGGAAGCTCTTTTGAAAGTGAGTTCTTAAAGAAAGAATAGACATTTAGGTGGATTGGGGTGAGATTTAAAGAGCAACATTCTTTTTTATGAAGAACAGTGTATAATAAATGGAAATAAGTGGGGCAAAGTCCAACATGCTGTGCTGAGAAAATTTTAAATAATCCTGTTTGGTTGGAATATGGAATAGAAAGGGGAGTGAAAAAAATAAGGCTAACAGAGTTTAGTGGGACCATGTCAAAAAGGGCCTTATAGTATGGTGGAGTTTGGGCTGCAAGGGCCAGGGTAGCTCAGCAGCACAGCACCTGCCTGGCAAGTGCAAAGTCCTGAGTTCAATGCTTGGCACAAAAAAAAAGAAAGAAAGAAAGAAAGAAAGAGGAAACAAAAAGAATTTGGGCTGCAGGAGGTATGAGAATTTTTGGTTGGTTTGTTTTATAATACTGGGAATTGAACCCAAGGCCTTTACACTGAGTTACATCCCCAGTCTTTTTTATTTTTTGAGGTGGGGTCTCACTGAATTGCCCAGACTGGGCTTGAATTTAGGATTCTTCTGCTTCAGCCTCCCAAAGTGCTAGGATTACAGGCATACACCTCCATACCTGGCTACTGAAGGGTTTTAAGTGGGGAATACGATGGAAACCAAGCCATAGTCCATGCTTATGATGTGCTATAAAAATCAGTTTAGGCTAGGTTATACGGTAACAAACGATACCCAAATTTCAATGGTTTACAATAACAAAGGTACATTTTTA